ATATGTATTGATAATACCGTAGATAATTCTTCTTCTTATTTAAGTTTCCTGGGTTCGACTATACATTCTAAATATAGATATTTTTTTACTTCAGATCCGGCAACACATGAGTTGCTCTTGTTGCTGCAAGTGTCTTTGGGTGGCAGTGATTACTTACCATCAAGACATTACTTAGTTTGCCTGTATGAACATTAAAACGGACTCGCACTTGTTTCCGACACACAATGTATCGTTCCGCGATCTGATACTGTAAGTATTGTGTGTCGGGAACAAGTGCGAGTGTATAGGGAGAATGTGGCCAGTGGTAGGGGTATCGAACGCAATAAAAGACGACGTAAGAAGGTAGACCAATATGTCTGCCAATAACATCTACACGCAATTACTTCAGTAACTCGGTGATCGTGGCGCTTGCAACAGTGCTGAAATATCGGAGACTCATAAAACACAAGGTACATGGTAACAATCCCGTTAATAGCTATAATATTTTTAAGCTATTGTATAGCTTATATCGCAGGCTTTGAGCGCGGCGACCGAATCAAAAAAATTCGTTACGCTAATATGCTGACAAGAGTGCATATGATACCAATTTTTGCCATTCCATTATCGATCTAAATGGCGCAGTGTGTTAAGTTTTTGCCACGGGACCAACGTTCTACGTATCACCGCGGTCGTAGGTTCAAATCCCGCACTCGTAAATTTTATTATTATTTTTTCCTTTTTTTTATATAATATGTTTTAAACCCCAGCACCTGTTCTTATTTTTATTTGTCTCCCTTTTATTAGGCTTTATAATTATAATTTAATTTTTTGGATTAAAGATAGTAAACTGTGGAGCTTGTGGAAGATTTTCGCGCTGGGCAATGCTGTTGTTTGCTGTGCATGCCGAATAAGATATCATAAGGCCTGCCTCGCCATCCCGGAAAAGTCACGTGTCAGCAAGGACTGGATATGCCCGAACTGCAAGAATAGCACACGCAGGGCTGACGACACGCATACGCCTGTAAGGTGTATCAGCGAATCTTCCGAGCCCGAAAAACCGGTTGCTGCAGGGAAACCTGTCGACCTGGCCAGGGGCTCTCTAAAGAAAGATGAGGTCCAGGGTAAGGTCAAGGAGAACGCCACCGGAAATAATCACACCAGTGATATAAAAAGTATGCTGACCGACTGCATGAAGGAAATGAGGGAATTCCGCTCGGAGATGGCGGTCTTCCGCAGTTCTTTTACCGCTCGACTTGACTCCTTCGAGCGGAGAATTGCAACGTCAAGTGGATCCTGATAAAACTGGTAGGATGGACTTGGAGCGCACCACATCTGAGCTGCGTGCCGAGGTTAACGACCGCGATCAGGAGGCATTGATGTCCGACCTGGAGATCGGCGGGTTGTCCGAAGAGAGGGGCGTCAGCGTGGAGCAAAGCGTCACCATGCGGCTAGGATTGACTCTCGTGCGCCTGGCGCACCGCCAGCTGCGCGACGACCTCTTTAAGGTCGCGCTTATGCGCCGCAGGGTCACTGTTGCTGAGGATTCGGAGGACGTAGCCCCGGACACCTCTGATGAGGGCGGCCCGCCGGCCACCGCCGTGGGGGGCGGCGTTCGTGTCTACATCAACGAGCGCCTCACGCGCGCCAACCGCCAGCTTATATAACTCCAAGTAGACCCTGCCAGAATAAGCTGGCGCGACACAATGTCGTATAAGCTAACGCTGAGGCAGGGTCCTGGTTAGCCCTTACTGTATGAGTTCCTTTTAACATGTTGTACTTTTTTAAGGGTTTATAAAAATTATTTTCTTTCTTTCTTTTAACACCCCCCACTCCGACCGGCACAGCGGTGCGGCGTTGAAAGCCATGCGTCGTCTAACGTTGTTTCAATTCGCCTTCGGTACAGTGTTTGTGTGCGTGCGACTAGACGTATGCGTGTAGACAAGCTGCTATATAACTGTTCATAACTGATTCTATCTCTTTTAGACATAATGCTAGGTGAGACAGTGTGCTTTTTGGCCGTGTCCACGAGTGAGTTCGAGCCTGCGACTAGTTGAACCTTAACGTGCATGTATATGGCACGACTGTAAGAAGCTCGCATGTAAGATTATGAAAATATTTTAAGCAATATTAACTTCTCATTTATTCAATAAAAGAACAAAAATCTTATCGGTCACCATGCTCAAAAAGTGTAACTTGAATTAATATCAAAGAAAAAAAATACTGCATAAATAAATAATTATAATTGCATAAGTTGATAAAAAATGCTATGCAATAGCTTTACCGCGGCGGCAGTCCCCGAGTGCCACACGTATTTTTTATATATTATTTTTTGGGGTAGCTCTGCTACATATAACCTGGGGATGTTTTTTTTCATCGTCTACCCCAATCTGTGGGATATCGTTGAATAGATCCTTAAAAATAAGTTAGGGTTTACTAGACTATTTTTTTTTCGATTTAGGGACTTCTCATTAATTTTAAAGGAAAACTATAACAATTAAGATAGATTTATTAGTTTTACAGTAATTGTCGTTAAACTTGGTAAAAGAAAATTTCTTACCTATTCAAAATTCCTTAGAAGAAAACATTAATAGTGACAGAGATGAAATTATTGTAGCGTAAAACTATGCAATGCAAAAAAATCTTTAAAAAAACTATTTAAAAACCACAATAAAATATCATTAGTTCCACAACGCTACCGCGAATACCAACGGCAAAAGTTTCTGAGTCGCGCTAACGTTACGTTTTTATATTTATTTAGTTGAGATACATAGATTGATATTAATTGGTTTTTCTAATTTCCTATATTGAAAATAAAGACTCCTGCTCAAATATATTGTGAATATAACTACAGGTAATTACGGAACCTTACACTACGCGTGGCTCGACACACACTTGACCTGTTTTTAAATAGATAAATAACATCAGTCAACACGAATTTTGAGTCAGAGTTCTTTATACCTGATTTTGATATCTAATTAATGTGAAAAACAATATTTTTATTTAAAAAAAAGTTTGATTTTGTAGCTAAGCGTTTATAGAATGAAATTTTAAATTTCATAGAAATTGCTATTTTTTGTTTGAGTTGTATACAACTCTTTTTTTTGAGATATATTAGAATAACAAGAAAGTAAAACATTTATTCTTTCAATCGCTTTTATTTACCTACTTAAAACAATAAAATGAAGTCTATGAAACAAAAAGATATTGATGTAGTTTTAAAAAAATATATTTTTATCATTTCTTGTAATTTTTAGTCTCAGAAAGTTCAGGGAACAATGTCTTCAGAATTTTGACGTAGAGCCTTAATAAATTGTTTCAATAAACATTTTTTTATACAACGAAGACATGAAAATAAGCATAGGGTCCATAGCAAATAAGATTAATAAGATTATATTTCTTTTCTGATACTCTGAATGAACTGCTGGTAGTAAAGTGAATGAAAATAATATATTGAAAATTTTGTATATCCTCAAGTGACGCCCATTTTTCATCCCGACTTCGAATAGGAAGTTAAAATTAAGCTTCATATGTTAAATAAAGTTTTTTACTATGGGATAAACGATTTTTTTTAACCTACATTTAATACAATCTCCACAAATAATGCAAACAGAGTCCACGTAGTTTTTACTCATTTTTGGAAGGCATTTTACCGCTCAATTGTTTCGCAATACCTCGCTTCTCTTAAATAAACATTTTTTTTATGTAACGAAGACAGTAAAATAAAAAATATATAACTTAATATTATATTTCTTTTTCTGACACTCTTAATACGCTGCTGGTAAACAAAAATCAAATAGAAATTGTGTACATCATGCCGCTCATGTAGCGCCCATATTTCATCCTTATTTTAAATAATTGACTACTTTGCCATTGGATAAACTATTTTTTTTTATTTGGATTGAAAAAAATCTCCACAAATTAAGCAAACAGAATTCACGTAGTTGTTTACTAATTTTGTATGTCATTTTACCGGTCAAGATTTACAAATACCTACGTCGTTTCTCTAAAATGTGTGTACACACTGAGTGACTGCTCAACTGCTTCCTGTTCTATACCCGATTTCTTCTGTACTCCTTTCTTTTGCTTATTAAAAGCTGTAGTCCTTCAGCCTTTTACAAAAATCATACATTTTTATTTATCATTGTATAAAGTACAAAAGCAAACTGTTTTAATATAAATGAGGTTTCTGGTAATGTTTCGTTGAAAACAATCAGACAATAGCCATTAAATACCAAACTCAATTTTTATTTTATCATTTTGTTGACTTGTCTAATAATTTATGTTGTAGAGAAACATCATCATTTCTTCTTTTTATTCATTAATTTTCTTCCTACTACCTACATTATTTCGTTCTTAAAAACCTTATGAAACATAATAAAATTAAAATAACTTATCGATAACAAGTTATTTTCCGATACGTTAACCTAGCTAAGTGAGCGGTCACCTGATGAAAAATGACACCTCCCCATTGTCGGGCTTGCCTTGGCATTAAATGAAATACGTGATGTGATACGCTTGAAATTTCCATCCACCGTTATTGATATATTATCAACGTTAATACAAGGCTTTAATATTACCTATTATTATCTGCTTCTTACAATTTTGCACTGGCCGTTTACCATGTCCTCAGCAAAATTTGCTCTTTATGAAGGTAATAAGGTAGTGGAGAACTGAGAAATTATTATAATAGAATACCAGATGTTTGGTTATCAACAATTTTGACCCCTGTGTTTTCTCATCAACATTTTTTTTACTTGTGGGTTTGGTGTCTTCATAATGTAATCCGCAAGTCCATAGGCTATGCCATGAAAATTCAAAGCGCTCCATGAGCAACTACCAAAATGAAATGCCACTTTATACTGAGTAACTTTAAGTATAAAAGAACGGAATTAAAAATCACGGAACCACAATTAAAAAGTTTGTAATCGCTTGGAAATCACCATTTAATTAATTATACCATTCATTTTATAAAACTCATTCCCTCAAATTTATTTTAAAACCAGTTATCCTTAATACCACCCTTAATTAATCAATAATTCTTTTATTTTAACTTCCGCAGCTTCAACGACATGTTCATTTGTGACGGGTACATCTGTAATAAAGAAAATGTTAATGAATATTATTTACGGGATTGCTACCATGAACCTTGTTTTTAGGGAAACAAACAAGCTAGCAATCCCGTGAAAAACATAATATTAGTGACCATTAAAAGTTTAAAACAATTTAATAATAATTAAATAAATAAAACTAGTTTTTACGGGTTAATGCACGAAACTTTATTTATTTATTGACGTTTCGCAGCCTTTTCAGGCTGCTTCGTCAGAATTATTTTTTATTTAATTTTGTCGAGCTACCTTCGAAAGACTTTTATTGAGTGTTCGGTTATTTCATTGTTCGATTTTTAAAAAAGTCTTTCGAATGTAGCTCGACAAAATTAAATAAAAAATAATTCTGACGAAGCAGCCTGAAAAGGCTGCGAAACGTCAATAAATAAATAAAGTTTCGTGCATTAACCCGTAAAAACTAGTTTTAATTAATGAGTGATGTGCGTGAAAACCTAAGAAACAAATATAATAATGAAATACGTTATCTCATATTATCTTAAATGCAAAGTCAAGGAGATTGAATTTATTAAAAATGCGTTATTGTAGCTTACCTAAATATAAATATTTGTCGGTATCGTAACCACTGTCAAATCTCGAAGCTTGAATGGCTGCTCGTAAGCTTTCCACTATAACGTAGCTCATGCAAGTAGGGGGCTCTCCAACGGCTTTATTAGAAATAAGTGAAAATATTGCAATTAGGTATTAAAATGTTATCCAAAATTTAATGAACACATACAAATATTGAAAAGGTTCTTTAAATTTTGAAAATTATCGAGCAGAATAAAGTGCCAGCTACTGCGCTATTGCGGACTCCAATATGTGTATTAAATTCTTTAACTAAAGTTTATAACTTTGATTTACCTACCTTTAGAGCCTAAGATTCCAACAGGATTGTAAGTATTTCGGCGCAAATAAACTCGGAAGTCATGAGGTATATCTTTTGCTCCATATATTTTGTAGTTCCAACTTCGATTTGTAAGTAATTCCCCGGTATGCTTGTCAATCTTAATTTCTTCTAACGTCCAAGCGGACAGTGACTGAATGAATGCCCCTTCAACCTATAGAGAATGAATTTAAAATTAGTCTTAAATACTTATTACTATAAATTAAATTAAATACATACTGCTACAGTGTCAACGGCAACATACCTGACCGACATCCAGAACAGGATTGATACTTTGCCCTGCATCTTCAAATACGTCAGCACGGACGATCCACTTGGTACCTGTCAGTAAGTCTACTTCAACTTCAACAGTCGCCATACCAAAAATTGAGTAATTCACTAGGCGAGGATCGTTTTGACTAGTGAGATAGTTGGCTTGTAGGTTAATTCCCTGTTGATCGGCTGCAAAAACCAACTCCTTCCATGTGGCTGTAGGCATAGCAACACGAACTGGTTCCAGTCTGGCTTTGATTTCTTGGCATGACCTTATTACAGAATAAGCACAGCATTCAGTAGTTATACTTGAGCCAGTGGCATAATTATTAGGTGTAGCAAAATTCTGAGTTGGTAAAACGGATACTATTTCCACAGGAATATTAAATTCTTTAGCAACCACTTGAGCGATTCTCGTGTAAACGCCTTGACCAATTTCTGTGCCACCAATGCAAACAGCCACACTACCATCTCCATGATAAACGCTTACTAAAGCTAAATAATTTCCAAGGTATGCCGTGGGAAATGACATATTAACAAATTTCAAACTTCTCTTCTTCCATCGATTATGGGAATTGAAATTTTCTATAAATTTTTGACGCTTATCATAATCAACTCGTTCCTGAAATATGGGAAGTAATAGTGGTAAATCATTATCCTCTTTTCGATAATTTGCCATGCGAACCAAAATAGGATCTCTTTTTAACTCGAACGCAATGCGTTCCATGATATGTTCAGATGCCGCTATTCCCTCGAATCCTCCTAAAACAGAACAATATGTATAATTGGCAAATTTTTCGACGTCATGATAATCAACTGTTTCTATTATAACCAACCTGGAGCTCTCATATAACAGTTAGATGCCATATCAGTTACAACACTAAAGGAACGCACTGTCCAACGCCTTGTATCGTAACAATTTTTAAAAGCACTAATAGAAAGGACATTTTGGTTTTCGTTTCGAGTTATCCCATCATTAACATATAATACAGCATCCATATATTGTATTTCACCCTTATCGTCCACGCCAACCTTTAATTTAATCATACAGCTTAAAGCGAATAAATAATACATAAAATAACAAACACTAAGTAGCGGTATAATAAAAGTGTAAAATATGTAAATAAAAATGTTTTTGACTAATTTCATGTTCGTTTGAAATATATTTGAAAGGTTTAATAGACCATCATTTTATTAAAATAGTTTCCCTATTCAAAGCTTTTTATGGTTTAAATCTAAAGAAAATTTTACTACAAAAAACCAGTCGGACCAGGCAGCAGACGGGACTCGAAGCCGCACCCTCCGCTATTCATAGTATGCATTTCGCCGTTATCGTGCATTGGCCCGGATAGAGGTGGATGGGTTCGAATCCCGTCTACTGCCTGGTTTGCGTGGAGTTTTTTTCTAGTGAAATTTTCTTTAGAATTAAACATCTAGCAGTGAAATGTTTAAAAAATAAAAATATAGCTTTGTATGATTTGTCACTATATTTAATTGGTCATAAGTACTACTAATATTATAGATATCCATGTCTAAATCCCCTCCCCCTCCTCGGAGTATGCAGGATCGGGATCACATGGTTTGTGATTCTAAATACTAATCAGCTAACATAAAATGACATTCAAACGAATTGATGTGTTAACGGAAACTGTGATCGTAAGTATATTTTCGAATCCTATCATACATTCTAATATTTATCCGACTTGAATAAATAAAATAAATTACCTCATAATCTAAACGGGTGTTGCATCTCTTACCAATGGCTCTCATGATATCCGGTAAGCGCATGGCCATTCGACATGGTCGGTTTAACGTTTTAGCTACTAATGCAGTAGCACATGCCACAAAGTTACCTCTACTTATTTTGCAACCAAATCCCCCGCCACATCGTCTATTTTTCACGATAATACTAGGAAAAAATGATAAATAAATTACTTAACACTTTGGTACACTATAGTTATCTACACTCTGTAAATGAAATTTCGTAATAGCAACACTTTCAAGACGTATCTTATTAGCTACGGTAAACTTTTTCATTATTAAAGCAGACTGAAATAATATATATCCCCATGGAATATTATTCATCGCGAAACATTCACAGACGAATATTCACTCACCATAGAGAAAGTAACCACTTAACGAATGCCTTATATACATCATTTGTTCCAAAAACAAGTATGTATAAGGAGTGATTTTCTTTCTCGTAACCAATAACATCTCTTTGTACGTAAAAGACACTCTTATTATGTAATCATTTTTTTATTTTTTTTCATAGGTACTAACTACTATTAGTATTGATTAAAACATAATTCGTTAAAACCAAATAAAACATTGAATTTGTAACGTTTGCGAGTCCGAAATGTCATTGTCAAATGTGTAATGATTTTTAGTTCTCGTTACATACTTTGTGGCGTTGCTGTTCAAGTTTCCATACAACATTTGACATTGACATTTCGCATTCGCAAACTATTCGAATTCGATAATGGTTCGTGTTAGGGGTACGGTATGAGTAGTATGCGTGGCTTCTACGTGGACGTATCCAATCACGTCACGTGAAATCGAGTATACTACTCATATATATTGATAAAAAATCACCACGCTGCAGAAGACTCTATTGTCCAACACTACTGCACGTGTTTGATGGGACGATGTACTGTAGGCACTTGTGAGCATTTAATATCAATAGTATGGATTTTTGGATACGCCAGGCAAGAGGGATTTACTGCTCCCGCAATGTTCTTGAATGACGATATAATGGTTGATACAGGTCGCGGCACGTAACTACGCGAACAAAACACGAAGAGGATAGCTGCGCGTGGGTACGACTGGAGAGCCAATCGACGCAACGCACGCACACCCGCGCACCTCGTTTCCCCCAAGACACCTTAATTTTTACTTCTGCGCAATAACAGTCAGCTTAGAGTCTCGTACCGAGACTTATAGTTAAGTATACAAATGTAGGTACAAAAAGTTAATAAACAATATTGGTAGATTATGAAACTGTTATTTTATATTTTTATTAAATAGTATCATTAAAAATGGGGATCCATTAAAGTTGCCTATGTTTAGCAGAGGATGATCATGAGAAGTGATTGTAATAGTTGTTGCGGTGATTTAATTCTCTTGAAAACAGTTGACTGAAAACTACTAAATTTCATAATTACTCCGAACTTACTACAAATTGAGACAAGCGCCATACTCAGAATACAGTTATTCTGTATTCTGAGGCGCCATACTAGCTAAAAATATTGCTGTTTAAACGGATACCAGGTTCCATACATTTTTGCCCATCATCCTTAATCGTACATAGGGTTATATTTTTGGGATTTGATTCAATTACATTAAAGCACTTTGGTTTAATACCATCTGCCAGGTAAGACGCACAAGAAGGAAGTTTAACAATCATACTCAGATAAGCTAACTTTTAAAAGAATATGCTGTCTTTTTTCTATGTTAAGCAAAGATATTGACATTATAAACCTAATTCGCGAGTAGGTCATTTAGCTTTGAACTGAAAACTTTTTTTAATGAAGGAACTTTATAGATTTCTGAGAAACAATAACGAAAGGAAACAGTAACATAATATCTTTTTATGATTAAGTCATTGAGAATGACCAATTGCAGTTACAGTTCTTTAATATATTTCACAAATGTAGTTTTAGAATACAAACAAAGAAACTTACGTGCTTTCGGGAACATCTAACATATCTGCTATAACAGCTTGTGCCACATCAACATGTTGTGTAGAGTTATATACTTCTAGACCTTCATCTACAGGTACTGTTACAGCAGTATGAAGTTCCATCATGAAATGGTATTGTAGAGGACTATAAAAATTGCCTTTGATTACTTTTTGAATATTAGCCCCTCTATCAGTAGGGTTGATTCCTGTCGACGGTAAAAGCCGATTTTCCAGCTTTGGTGATTTAATAGCATCTTCTATTGTAAGGACCGGTGGCTCTTTCGAAACATGTTTATAATTCACTTTTACAAAATTTGATGCACGATCAGCAATCGCTTGTGTTATGGCAACGACTAGAGCCACGGGTTGGTTATAAAAACGAACTTTATTGCTTGCCAAAATTTCTTCTTGTTCTGTAGCTCCTATAAAACCAATTCGCATAACATGGTTTAAGCCTGGTATATCCTTAGATGTCAAAACAGCTACTACTCCATCCAATTTCTAAAAAAACAAATCGTAGTCATAAAACTTAAATTGAACTTTTATTGTAAAAAAGCACATTACGTACCAAAGCCTCTGATTCGTCAATAGATTCAATGTCAGCTGACACTACATGTGAAAGTACAAAAGCAGAAAATACTTCGTTCTTCATAGCTGGCATATCTTCGGTGTACACTGCTTCGCCTGCGCATTGTATCATACCTTCTTTTTTTAGTAGTGGTTGTGTGATAGGAAATTCTTTTTTATTTGTATCATATTCCTGATAGCTATGGCTTACTGGTGGTCTATCTTCCTTGGATGAAGTAGCTCCAGATTTATAAAACGAACTCAATATATCATGAGGACACATCCTCAATACACACTGAAAAGAACAGCATTTATTGACAAGAGTAATCATTTGGCTGTAATTGTTTAATTTTTTTAATAAATATGATTATGATTGATTGATAAAATTTCTATGACTCTTATAGAATCATAGATTTTTTTTTTACAAATCTAAAGAAAATTTTATTGGAATAAAATCCACTTGGTCCAATTATTATTTTTTCTCATGTCTGTTTGTTGTGTCATCAGGTTAATGCTTAAAATAAAAAAAAACTATGCTTAAAATAAAAAATAACATAAAAAATACCTTGTAAAATAAACTGATAGCTAGTTTCTTTCTAAAAGAAGCTGAAGGTTCTGGTGGATTTTCCACGGGGCGAATCTCTGACTTAAGAACACTTATACTAGATTGAAGCTCTTCGTTATTAAATATATTTCGACCAATCAAATACTTTTCTGTTTTGTGAGCATGTGTAAAATCAGGAGCTATGCCACCATAAACAATACTAGTTTTAATTAACTTATTACTTTCAAAATCAAATTGAAATAAAAATGCCCCATTTACTTCAGCATGTGCATTTTGTTCTCGCGGAGTAATCTGAAATAACAATCATGGAATTTGTAAATAAAACAAACGACAGGTATTTTTACTCCCATTTGTTGTTTACCTTGTATGTCACTAGTTTGTGACTCTTAGATATAGGCGGCAACTTAATGTTTGTCAAGACCTTGCCTGTAATGTCAGTTTTTAGAAATTCTTCCATACTTAATTCTATTTGATGTTGTTTACGATCGACTGCATATAACATATATTTTAATTAGTATAAGTTATTATAATGAGAAATCCATATTAAAATATTACACGTCATCACTTAAAGATTACCTAAAGTTATATAGGCTCCCACGCAATCCAACAACAGAAATATATCAGATTGAAAATCAGGGTGATTGTGTTTTAGAACCAAGTTACCAGCTAAAGTGCCAATCTGAAATTTAAAACTTATAGTCGTATCATACAAAATCACACAAAATTTGCATATTTATGGATTTAAAGAGAGTTTTGTTTGTTTGTATTAAACTCAGCTCTTAAATTTAGATGTAACCAGCCCATGGTTACCATAACTAAACCGGAAATCTTTTTACCACTCCGTCATTTAGATAGATAATAATAATCAGTAAATAAATGAAAAAATAGTATTTTACTCTATATTCATAATTTTAAAATTTATTTCCTAAATGGTCTATTAATTTTTTAAATTATTTTGCCCACAATTCTCGAAATACTTACATTTCTGACAGGAATATGAGCCACTTCTTCCATATGGTCATGTAACACTTCCAAGTACCAAAACTCTTCACCTTTCGCTTTACTTAATTGTTTAAATACAGACATAGCATCGGACAGAGTAACATTACCTCCCAGTACAAGATTAACATCCAAATAGTGTCCAGTTAGTTCTTTCACGTTACTTACGTCAATTAGCACTTTTGGGTAAGATATTATAGGTCGTACACCTGCGTGAAAAATATCAACTGCTGTTTTAGAAGTTATTTATAAATGCTTATAATGATAAATTAACAAGTAGTATACCTTTGGCCGTATTTCCTGCGACTAACATGTAGGAATCGTATCCATTCTCATCCAACACATCAAATATGGATTTAATATCAAAAGCTGCAACCCAGAGCTTACCATCAGCGAGTGATATTTTCCTAGGTAAAGTTAAATTGTTACCATCACTCTTTACATTGACCAAACACCATTCTTGGCTTTCATTTTTGCTACATGAGCCATCACAATTCTTTCCTGATTTAGGACATAAATTTTGATCAATGTCCTCTATGTCTTTAACCTTACGTAGTAAGTCCTGATTCACATCGATAGCTAAGGATTTGAAAGCTTCCAAAATGGGTCTGTATCCTGTGCATCTGCATAAGTTACTACCAAAAGCCTTTTCTATTTCTTTTTCTGTCAAATGGTGATCACTGCCATTGAGTAAACTAAAAACAAAAAATATGTGCTTGCTGTAACTATAATAAAATAACTAAGTCCAAAGTTTTTGTGTTGTATAATCTACTTTATAAATGATTCTTTAAAAAAATAGTTAAAATTATAAAAACATATCACCTGTACATGTTCATTACAAATCCAGGACTGCAGTGGCCACATTGTGATCCAAAGAAATGGTTTAACCGTTTTTGTATAATATGATAGCCTTCTTTTCTATTACCGATGCCTTCCACTGTCGTTATATCCCAATTATTGCATGACATAATAGTTACAAGGCACTGGAAAAGTAACAACAATATTTATTAAGACTGTTATAAACTACAGGATAATTTGATTGCAAAAAACTCATAGTTCGGTGTACTATACTCATAATTTATGTGTCCATCAGTCATTCTTCAGCATGATATTATTTAGCTTGATTTAATTATCATTTTACTTTGAGTGACTATAAAATATTCTTTAAACTTTGCTGCTGAATTACAATCAATTTATTTATATCCAACTATATTGCATCAGGGACAGTATTATGACTTGCAAGTTGATCATCAACATGGCCAGAGCAGGAGAGGAGTAGGCATTCACAGCTTTCATCTTTGTCGATTGAGCATTCAAATTGCGCATACAACCGATACATGTGTGCAGGATTTGGCGATATATTGTGTAATTGCTTGCAGTTTTCGTTTTTACGCATCTACGTTAAAATGCATTTGTGGGCGTAACCCGGGGGGGGGGGGGGTTTCGCCCCCCCCCCCCTCGCAAAAATGGCAGAACGATTTAAATGTTTCCTTCCGTGTTGCTCTGTGCAGTTGATAGATCTTCAAAATCAGCAAGATAAAATAACCAGTTGACGCATTAAACATATGATATTCTATTTCTATAGTTAGTCTTCCAGTGTGGAAAATATAAGCTACCTGGTCTGCACATGAGATCTACTGAAAAATATTATGAATTAATATCTACCGAGTTGACAGCGAAAGACACAATCTCGTTTGTGGTGGGGTGCGCGAGTCGCACATTGACGACGCAGGCACCGCACCCGCCCTCCTTGCACATATACTTGGTTCCACGCAACTCGGCATGCTCTCTGATGAAGTCCATCAAAGAAGTGTCTGCATGGAACTCTCCCCCGGCTAAAACAATTTACACGTGTAAAAACCGAAGTAAGTGGGGTAAGGTATACCCCACTTACCTTCGGCAGAGCATCTAATGTTGAATCGCAAACAGCGTACTATATTGCCTGACTTACATTGCACATTTCATAGAATTCCTTACGCTAACTTACACGTGGTGTGAAGGGTGTATAGAAATTCTATGAAATAAGGTTCTACGCAAAAGGTGTCGTGCAAGATACGCCGTGCGTGATTCGAACTAGGTAAGGTTTCAGTTTGCGATTATACTGATGATAGGATGCCTCGACTGAGTGAAACAATATCTGTTGTTTTTATTTATAAATCTAGCAGTTAAATGCCTAATAAACTGCAGTTTGAGACAGCGAATTGGATTTGAGAGTAAAAAAACATTCAATTGTGAGTCGGGCACGCGTTCAAAAAACTATTTTGGCAGACAGAAAGAAGAACGAATAGACGAACAATGTAGTGTTCCTGTGGGGGTTCCTTACTTTTCTATGGAGATACGGAATCCTAAAAATGATCAAATATAAAATAGCCTTAACGATGCCACATTTGGTGTTTGCTAAATGCCACCACTTCGCTTGGCTATAATTGTTTAATATTTGTAAACTTGACATCAGTCTGCCCTTTTCATTCCTTATAAAGCATGATAAGGACAGACTATTGTCAAGTTTACAAATAGCAAATACGAATAGCCAAGTGAAGTTCCAGCATAAGACGGACTCATCGTCTGCAACAGTTTCCATACACAAATAATAATAATAGGCCCTCTCCGTTGATAGGTTTTTACTAATTGTACAGGAAAAAGGAGCGTCTCGACAAATTTATATTATTCCTATAGTCACAGTCCAGCATGAGATATCGGTCGAATATGGGTAAAAACTTTACATTTAATTTTTTATTCCTTTATGATAATTCGCTTCAGGTTTTGAAAACCTGAAGCGAGTTATCAGTAATATTCACTCAATAAGTAATATACATGATTTTTTTACAACCAAATACAAAAAAAACATTATTACATCACAGAAAATAAATGACTTAATTTAAGTACTTAACTTTTCATTCTTTTGAACGATAGCGCTCATTTTGTAGTTTAAAGATAAGCAATAGATCAATGAAATTACTTATCGAAAATAATCAAACTTTATGTTATGCATGGAATTAACAAGCTGTCGACAAACAATTTTATCATTTATTGGAAATTTTTAAACTTTAGAGATAGATTAAGGCCGCGTTGTTTCATCTAGTTAAATATGACTAAAGTTAAAATACTAGAGAAAAATAACCAAAGTTTTGCACATTTACTATGTATTTGATATGAATTTTGTACTATAGTTACACAAATATTATAAAGGCGAAAGTTTGTGAGTGTGTATGTTTGTTACTTCTTCACGTCTAAACTGGAGATTTTAATAAAATTTGGTATGGAGTTAGCTGTCACCCTGGATTAAAAAATAGGCTACGTTTTAATGCGCGAAAATATCCCTAATAAACCGCGGGTAACCACGCGAGGCACAGCTAGTAGTTAATATAGTACAAATTTAACCAAGTATGGCTTTAGCGTTCAGTAACGCTTATGTTCGGCCACTAGACTGAATCCATTGCTAAAACCTTTTTAATATAAATTAATACGTTTTACTAGTAATGTTTCGGTTGTTAAAAAAAATATTTAACAAACAAATAAATTACACTTACCGCTAAACTTTTTCCCATTTATTTTAAAGTAAATTCTATCCATGTTTAGTTAATGGCCGCACTAGTTCCGCACATCAATACTAACTCTAATAAAGAGTTATAATAACGGTCACTTTTCGTTTGTTTAACATAATATTGTATTATTACCACAAGGGACACAAGGCGGTACGTTTAAGAAAACCAAAAATAATGATCGTGATGAAAAATGCTGTAAATTACGTCTATATATTTCAGATAGAAAGAGAGAGTTTTTATTGTTAACAAATCAAAATTACTAATAAATTTTACAATAATTTCATAAACGAAACGTATTCACAGTATCAATTCAATCACCACAAAGGTTTTGAATTAATGGACTTATAGGAACAAGCGTACTCAAAAATGTGTAAGTACTAATGAAACGAATATCTTAATTCAACAACCACTATTCCGACATTTGATCTTGATGTCGTGGTTGATTTATTAACTTATTTTTAAAATATTTAAAAATTTACTAACTAAAGCTGACTGTTTACTGAAATACCGTATAACCGTTTAATTAACCAAATCTTAAGCTGTATCGACGTAACATGCGTTTGTGTTATTATTTTGTAAATGTAACGGATATACAAGATTACAAATTAACATGATTTCCACATTAGGTAATTGAATTAACTATCGACGAAGACTGCATAGTTTCCTTTTAATATCTGTTTTGATAGATATTTCCTTTTGATATTTAAAAATTACAAGGTGTAATAATATATTCATCCGCACAATCCTACACGCACGTTAACTCCTGTTAATAAATGCAAAACCGTGGAGATTGGGCCATGACCCACCACGCGGGCCCAGTGCGGTTTGGTGGGTGCTAACGACTGCAAATGCAGCCACGACCAACGACTTAACGTGCCTTCCGAAGCACGGAGGCCCTCATGATAATATATTTTTGGTCATCCATCCAATGACCGACCACTGCGAAAGTTGCTTAACTTCAACGATCGCAGCCGCACACGCTTACCACTTGCGCTATCGAGCTCCTCGTAGTAAGTATTCTACCATAAACGTTGTATTAAAATAAGACACTCACTCGTTAATCAACACAGAAAGCAACTTAATTGTAAATATTTAAATTTATATCGTTAAAACCTCTTCTTGAAATTACTTTATAAATGGGATCAAATCAAAGCAGATTGCCTTATTGATAAAGGTTTGACGACCCTACCTTTTGATCCCAAAATACCGAGACGGTATAAAAATAAAATCTACACAGGAAGTTAATGTCGGCTCTAATAAATGTAGGTAGTTATATAAAGTCGTGGGTGAATGTCTCGTCGCACCAATTATTATTTTATAATTTAACCCCTATCTCTCAGTAAATAAGCTATAACTTGAATTATAATAAGTGAGTTTGCTGAATTGTCGGGACGTTTCATTAAACTAAAATAACACATAATAATAAACTGAATAATGTTAACCTTTAGTGCCCCGTACTTTGGTAACATGACAAAGCATGGGGTGCTTGCTTAGATTAAAAAAAAATGGGTAGATACGGCACTAGCCTCACAAAAGTGATCCGCATGAATTGTGGTCCACGACCCTAATCGCTTTAGTCACAACTTGACATGCAAACGACGTACATGTGAACGCCAAAAAGAAAAATTGCTAATATTTTGTGTTTATATGATAAAAAAATGCCTAAGTGTGTTTTTAAAAAGTGCTCAAATTGCTCAAGATATAAAAATAAAACCCACAGCATCACTTTTCATTCGTAAGTACTATAAAATATATTTTTTCATAAAAATTGCTGTTTGTTTTGAATTTTATTCGGTAGTGACGTCGAGTACTGGTCGCGTGATTGGTCGGTAGTGCAGTGACGCGGATCTCGCCGTCTCGTTCGCGCTGCCGTTGAAACTTAACGTGCTGTTTCGTTAGGGTCGGTAATGCAGTGACGCGGATCTCGCCGTCCCGTTCGCGCTGCCGTGGAATCAGTTTTTGTTTGATGCAAGTATGAGCGTACCGTATCTACCCTTTTTGTTTTAATCTAAGGGTGCTTGTCAACAGACAATGGGTCACATCTACCACGAAGCTGCAACAATACGATGGTAATGTAAATTATGCTGGCTTACCTTCCTGCCGCTTGACGACCTCCGTGATCGAATGGTTTGTACGCCGGGTTTCATGGTGTCTCCGACGCGAGAGGTCCCGGGTTCGAATCCCGGTGGGGGCAGATGTTTGTGTGATGAATACGAGCATTTGTACTCCAGTCATGGATGTTTAATATGTATTTTTATATAAATATAATTACATATGTACAATATATGTATTTCTATCCGTTACCCTAGTATCCCATAACACAAGCCTTACAGTGCTTACTTTGAGGCTAGGCTAATTGGTGTGAGTGTTGGAAATATTTATTAATTTTAAATAGGCTTAATCAAATCAAACTGACCGTGTGTGGGTAGACATTTTAGAAAGACATGCCACTTGACGGAAGGATTTTGACTTGATTAAGCCAATTTGATCAATATCACTTGATGATGTTGAGTGGCTAACATTAGATTAGAAACCATAGATCACTAGGTATTATTAGATTAGTTTCCAGAAGTTAAACCACAATGTTAATTTTCCACTTGCTTTATTCAACTTGTACTTCACTGTAATATAAACTAAAATTATTATAACAAGAATATTTAGCAGCAACACCACGTTAAATTTTGGACCACTATTCACGACAAAGGCTCTCGACTGAATACCGTATTTATGACCGCTCCACTCGCTAGTTCGTCCCTCCTTCACGTCACGTGATAAGATGGTGGGGAGGTAAGGTGATGTGGCGTGATTTAGCATGGACAAACCAAGATAAAAACAATAACTGTACTATTGACCGATCTGTAAAAAATGCTAATATTATAAAAATGCTAACAGCTCGGCCATCCTGCATCAAGCGAGACCCTTCGCGATTTGGTGTACAATAAAGACAGGTTTATTATTATATTTGTTTCTTAGGTTTTCACGCACATCACTCATTAAATAAAACTAGTTTTTACGGGTTAATGCACGAAACTTTATTTATTTATTGACGTTTCGTAGCCTTTACAGGCTTCGTCGTCAGAATAAAACTTTTATTTAATTTGTCGAGCTACCTTCGAAAGACTTTTATTGAGCGTTTGGTTATTTCATTGTTCGATATTTAAGTTTTATTGTCTATGTATGAATTTATTATTTAATTTACTTAATAAAGTATTTTATTTAAAATTCTTGTTTGTAATTTTGAGTTTATTTATTTGACCCTAACTACCGTAAACTACCACCGGTTCCAAAATTGGGAGACCTTCCTGAGAAGAACCGGCGAAACAAACTCAAGAGAGGCTTTCTATCTCCTTCTTATGTTAAATTATGCAAACAAAAAGAACTAATAGTATCTGATGGTCTTGCAGTGTGTGCTCGGGGTTGGGATTTTATCTCCTGTATAATAGGTTCCCAAGCTGGTGGTATATACCAACTATCTTCCCTATTGAAATTTGGATATTTTTTAATCTCAATAGCCTCGCGCATCATTCGAGGAACGAACCGCCGCTCAGCTGCAAGGATCTGTGGTCTATCAAATCTAATGTAGTGGTTTGGTCCCCCTAATATTATTATATAATATTATTTTACAGTCTTATATAATTTCTCTAAAATATAATGATTCGAATCATAATTTATTTTCATATTGACATTTAAGAAATAGCAATAATAAAGCAACAAATAAACAAAACAAATTAGCTAAAATACCGTAAAATATGATTACATTCAAATAACCGTTCTAAATTATCTTAGATTCTTTTTGATTTTATAACAATGGCATACATTTTAATAAGACTATATAAAAATAACTAACACATTCAGGTACAAAGCTAAAAGTACTAAAAGATACACATTTTTACATTAAAGAAGACTACTTTCTTCCGCCAGAGGGCGCTTACAAGTAAACACTTGTCTTTGTACTAGCTCTTAATAATTTATTCGATATATTTGTATTTGTCAAGAGAATATTTATCAAATCTTTATCAACTTAAGTGTCTCGTTATAGTGGTGAACTGTGATTGTTATCTCGTTGCTATTGTGAACTGTTTACAAGAAATTATAAATTGGTGCATTAATGGATTTACCAATCTTATGACTGATATTTTGTGATTGTTTCGTGCAGTTTGGGAACTTTCTGTGTTTTGTTGTGACACTCTGCCTGGTACAATAAGTAATTACTGTGTAATAATTGGAAAGCATTTCAAACTTAACCGTTCAAAATTGCTTTATCATTCTAATTGATGCATCTGCAACGCCATCTATGAGGTGCCTTGCGTACGCGCTGCTCTGGAATGTGTATTGCTGTTAAGAAGCAACAGCGTCTTGACGCACACTAACGTTGCTTTTAGACTTTTAGCATTGCTTGCTGCTTTACTATTGTTACGCTTTGCTTATTACTGAACTGGAGTTACTTAACAGAGTCGTAAGAGGGCAGTATAAATATATTTACTTACTATTTTCTACAATGGATTGCAGCGCTCAGTGTAACAAGAAGATTAACTCGAAGGATGACTATATTGTGTGTAAAATTTGTACTGGAAAATACCATCATTATGTCTAAATACAAGCAAAAAGATTTTTCTTTGCTGACGGCTCAGGCGCTGGAGTCTTGGATGTGCCCAGCATGTTTGAATGTAAACACTCGACGGCGCGGCTCTAATGTTAATACACCGGTTCGCGGGCATCACCAATCTGCCTCCGACTACAGTATGAACATGTCCCTCGATAATAGCTCGCCGCAAGGAAAGGACTGCGATGCGGTTACGATGGATAAAATAAGTAATTTACTAGATTATAAAATTCAAACTTTTGTCGGCCGTACTTGATGAGAAATTAAATAATTACCTTGCAAGTTTCAAAGTCGATCTTCGTACAGCTCTACTTGAAGATATCAAAAAAAATAATTAAATCAGAAATTCAATCTGAGATTAAAAATTTAGAAAATAATTTTACATCTACAACCGATTTTATTTGCGCAGAACAGAACACACTAAA